CCCCCCACCCCCCAGATGTTCCTGGGGGAAGCCCCCAGACATGCACAGCCTGCCCTGCTCCATTTCAAAGAGCTGTCTCCAAGGAAACCCAGCCAAAGTCGCTGGTGACACTGCACTTTCTCACATCTAGGTTCACAGATGATGTCCACCCTGACGCCCTCTCCCCCTCACCCATGGTTTTCCTTGAACCACCTCCCAATCCTTTCCTTAGCCCCTCGGAAAAGCTGGTCACACTCAGCTTGTGTGTAGCAGACAGGTCATCATTTGATGTCTACTTTTCTTCCTTCCCCGGACCACAGGCTCCTTCAGGACTCGAGTCCTGGGCAATCAAAGCACCCGCCTCACAGGTGTGTGGAGAAGATTACATTGGACAAGGCACACAAAGCAGGTGCCAGAGTGCACCACGTCCCCAGCCTTATCCGTCTTATCATCGTCACGGGCTGGAGCTCTCGGCCAGCATGGGGCAGGGTGACACGTAAAGGCCTCTCCGGGCTCATGTCCTGCCCGAGGAGCCAGGCTGCTCCCTCTCCTACATGGTCTTTCATTCCTGCCTTTAAAGATGAGGAAGTGAAAGCCACAGTCCCTGGAAGTTAAACATCCCCTGAAGCCACGGAGCTAGAGGGATAGAGATAAGGTTCAAAGCCAGATTACTGGCCCCCAGTCTTGCACTTCACGTTTAAAGCACAAAAGCCCTGTGGGTCCGTGCTTGGGACAGCAAGATGGGTGCCCTTCTCCATGGGCAAGACCCAGGAAGAGAGCTCCCGAGAGCAGAGACAGTTGCTTCTGGCCACACGGAGAAGAGGAGGGACGCACAGCTGTGCAGGCCGAGCAGGAAGCCCGTGGAGTCACCACCTGCCCTCGGTAGAAGGCGGGTGTGTCCTTCTGCGCGCAGAGTCCTGACAGCTGCACGCACCCAGGCAGGTGCCCTTGGCTGTTTCGGTCCCACTGTGTATATTCTTCCAAACTCTGCACTCGCTGCAAGGCCCTCTATGTGGTGGCTTATATTTAACAAAAGTCAAACAAGTCCAACTTTTGCACTCACTTTCCATCCTTCTGGCATCAGTGAAAGTGACGCAGACTGGCTCACAGTGAAGCCCGTCGGGCCGAGCATCCATTCGAGCTGAGCCATCTCCTGGCGACCGGCACCCTGAGACCTGGGTGCCAAGGCCGTGCCTTCTCAAAGTGGCACTGACAGTGACCTTCAGCAATTAAGGGCGAGGGGTGGCTCACCTGGCTCCGTGTCCTCGGGTACTTTCCCAGTCCTCAGCCCCTAGAGGGGGCTCAGTGAGTGTGTATGGGATGAAGGACTAACTCGCTCATCACTTCTGGTTCTTCATCGGTAAATAAGGGGTCACTGGGGTGACAGACATCCAAGAAGATGACATAGTGCGGGACAGTCTTTAGCTCAAGTATAAACCTGTTACACTTTTCATTATTGTTACTCATGATGCTAACTGAGAATTCAAACAAGAGTCAAACTGGGGGTGCCTACTAGGTATTATTCCTTGTTACAGATCACCGACGCTCCCAGGAGGCAGTTCAAATGCCCCACTCGCCATTCCTCCTCCCGCCTGCGGGACACTGAGCTGCAGTGGGTGAGGGGCTCACACAGACCGCAGAGCAAAGCCTGGGCCCCCTGCCGACGCCGCAGAGGGTCCCTGACTTATGATGCTTCCACTTAAATAGTTTCCACCTTTCCAGTGAGGCAAAAAAGTGCACAATCAGTAGAAACTGAAATTCTGATTTTGAATTTTGATCTTTTCCCGGATGGCGGTAGGCGGGCTATCCACTCTCGTGATGCTGGACAGCGGCAGTGCGCCGGGCACGCCGTCACCCATCCCGGGACAAATGACCCACGCCGCACAGCGCACTGCGGTGCCAGTGTTTGGTGGGGGTGCGCGTTGGCCTCGCTTCAAGGAGGAGGCAGGTACTGAGTGCGGCCCGGACTCCAGGGGGCGTGGCCTGAACTGCCAACGTGCTGAACACGCTGCCAGGTGGGCGGGGCGGGGCGGGGCCAAGGTGCTGGGTAGGTCAGGTGCCTTAACTGCATCTCTGACTTATGACGTTTTCAACTTACAGTGGGTTTGCCTGGATGGAACCGCATCCCAAGTAAAGGGGCATCTATAGTTAGAGGTCGTACAACCAGGGCAGGGGGAGCAGCTAATCAGCATGGAGTTGAGCTGAGGCTCAGTCCCTTCTCTGTGACACAGTCTCGGTTTTAATCAAGACAAAGGCAAGTGTGTCCGGTCGGCCACTTCTGACGCCTCCTCTGCACGGAACCAACCCCAAGATAGTTTTGCGGCGGGCGCTTATGGTGGGCGCTGGGACACAGGCCTTCTGAGACCCATTTGGCTCATTGACGGGGCTTCCTCACCCCCTCTGGCTGGTTTCAGGGGTCACCAGGCAGAGGCGGGAGGCCGCTCCGGTCCATTCGTGCAGCACTGTCCCGGCCGTGCGAGGTCGGTAGGAGGCGCAGGCTAGTTGCCTGCCCTTCTGAGTCAGAGGGACCACAATGCTCGGAGAACAAGGGGCTCAGGTGAGTGAGATGAGGAGTCTTAGTCCACCCGCCAATTACATTGGAAGAGACAGCACACACGTGAAACTCAGTCCAGTTAGCCCGTGTCAGAGGCAGCCTTGACTGCGGCGGCTAATGAGACATCGGGGCTGACGGAGCCCCAGCAGAGGGTGGCCCCGAGGGGCTCGGCCTTACCAGAAGGACGACATGTGGCCCAGACTCCCTCTGCGTGAGGCCCATAATAATTCTTATTGATGCAAATGGGGAAGAACTACTCGTCAACCAAAACAGAAGTGTTAACCTTAACAAAAATCAAATAAGCTTATCTCGTTTATACAAATGAGTGTCATGAGCACCCCTGAAGACCGCTCTTCACCCTTGCCAGCTGACCCCATCCCTGGAAACTTCCCTCACACGCAACATGACAGAAGCAACACTCAGACGAGTCCCCTCAGTGTCACCCGAGAGAGTACAGAGTGTGCTGTCAATAACTGGTCAGCGATGGCCATATGAAAACACTATGTGAAAATGGAAACATGTTCACATGTTTCTAAAACCTTAGAAAGGCAAAACACAGAATAGCCTTTTTTGTATGACTGCACCTATATAAAAATATTCTTCTATAGACCAAGACTGAGGACAATGAAATCATCTGTCACGCCTGTGTGTACAACCTAAGAGAACATTGAATCCTTCGGAACAATACTTAGTATCACTCTATCATCCTTCCAGTATAAAAACGAAGTAGAGGCAAGAACAGATAGAGGAAATGGAATTGACCCAACGCTGAACCAGGGATTAAAGACATTGATCGGTGATCGATGAAGAGAAATGGAACCAGTCATCAAGCTTTGAGATATAACACAGCTGGCTTTGCGGGTAAACACAGAAGTGCCCCGCAATGTCTCCTGAGCCCACCTGGGGAGGCCAAGGAGCCGGCCGCCCCCCAACACGCCTGTCTGAGCAACCCCGTCCTCGGTGCAGACACGGAGGAGCGGCCCATCATCTGCGTTCCCCCCTGAACTCCCAACGTGCCTTCCGAGCAGTCCAGCCGCTGTCAGGTTCATGGGGTTTTATTCGTGCACCATTCACAAAAGTCCTACTGCTCTCAGCATATCTGCCATTCGTTTCCAGGCTTGGAAGGGGTGGCTTGCATTGTACCTCCTCAGGCAGGGGACAGGAAGCCACCTCCGTCTCACGCTCCTTCCTTCCTCCTGCCCCTGCCCTTCCACCTCCCACCCCCCTCTCCCTCCTCCCATGGATGTGAAGCCCTGTGACGTCTCTCCACTTCTGCTTCTTTTCTTTCATAGAAAGTGGGCATGAATAATGAGCCCACACTGCTGCTGTTAATTGTGAACACCATTAGCCAACTTCCAGGTGCTGTTTACTATACAAGCATTGTCATTTTCTACCCTAAAATCAGCGACTGCCCCATGGCATTGTCCACCCTGGGGCATGAGCACAAGTCACTGACGCCGTCAGCGGCACTGGTAGTCGCTGGGACTGAGAGGGACGGATCCACGCCTGAAGTGTTGGAGGCAATAATGCCTCGAGTCAGCCAGGCCTCACGGGGAGCAGGCCCTTCTCCAGCCTCCTCCTGATTCCACACTCTGCCCTCCCTGCAAAACCACTGAAACCGGCGCTGACTGACTGACACCCACCCCCGACCCGCCCACCCTGGTCCACTCTTCCCCTTTCTGCCTCTATCCCACCCCACTTCCCGAGGACCCTGGGGAGAGCTGGAAAAGAGGGCAAAGCCAGTCTGCCTAGGAAGCAGCCTACGAGCCTGCGTTTGTGCAGTTGCAAATGAGAGCAGAGGACGAGCCCAGTCAATAACCCCAGAGAGGCCCCTGTAAAGACACAATGGAGAGTTGGGGCGCTCCCTCGGACAGAGCGGAGCTCAGCCGGTAAAGAGGAATGAGCTCATGCCGCCACGCAGACACTGCCAGGGTTCCCGTTGCACGAAACAGATCACAGCTTCCATCTGCTTCCCAGAAGGCACCTGTGGTTTTCCTCAAACTACTCAAGACAAAAGGAAGCCAAGCTTGCGTTTACACTTTTCCCAGGTAATGTAGTGGCACCCGTGAACACACCTGCTGTTCCTTCCTGGGGCCTGCTCCCCCCACGCTGCTCCTCTGGGCGGCATCCCCCCGGGGTCACAAACAGGGCCCCCGCAGGCTGGTGGATCTGCTGGCCAGGGCTGCTCCGGCCGGACCACCAGTGCCTGGAGCAGTTACAGCCGCAGCCCTTTCTCACTGCGCTGGGTCGTCTGTTTGCATCCCGTCCCCCCCCGCAGTGGTGTCCGGAAAGCGTCTGATGAAAGCAGCTTCCCGTCTTTATACTTTCATATTCGTGGCCTCGTACAGCACCCCACGGTGCATAAAGTCTCCTGAGAGCCTTTCTAATACACAGCACTTCTAATACACGCTGGAGCTACGAGCTCCCCGGAGACCCTCTCACCCACCGTTAAGGGTAATGTCCTCACCTGAGACGCAGAAGCAGTAAGTGACGACGCCGACCTCTGTTTCCAGCTGGCGTCCTTGCTGCCCCCTCCTCCAGCCCCCTCCACATCCCAGAGGAGAATCCCAGAACCACATTTCCCAGCAGCCCTCCCCACCCAGGTTTCCAGCTGAGTGTCCAATGGCAGGAGAGGAGGAGGAGTCAGTATCCCCCCCCACGGAAGTACAGTCAAACTCACAGGTGAAGAGACTCATGGGTAAAAAGTGGGTGTGGCTTTCTCAGCAGCCCCCAGGCAAACGCCCCAGGTCTCCTGCGTTAGTGTTAAGAACCGTGTCATTGGCTCCACTGCCACTTGTCCCCAAGCCCTTGCAAATGTTCTGTGAGGTGTTCAAATCTCCCCCGAGAAAAAGATCTACCTTTTCAATAATTGGTGCTGAGTCGGTCCGATATCCATAGCAGGGGAGGTGGATTCTGACTGTCTACCTCGCCCCACCCATAAAAATCAAATCCATACGACTGCAGATCTAAATGTGAGCAGTAAAACAATAAAGAAGGCAAAGAAAACAGTCAAGAACTTCTTCATAACCTCGGGGGAAGCAAACGTTACAAAGACATAAAACTGATAACCATGAAAGACAAAATTGGTGAGTAGGACTCCATTAAAATGAAGACCCTCTGCACAGCAAAGGGACCATTGGAAGTGGGAGGCAAGACTCAGACGCAGAAAAGCTGTTTGTAAGGCGTGTGTCTCACAAAGGCGAGCCGGAACATGTAAAGAGCTTCTATAAATCAACAAGGAAAAGGCCAGCTGCCAAAAGAGAAGAGCGACGTGAACAGGCACAAAAACAGAGAATAGCTAAATAGCTAAAAATACGTCTGAAAGGTGCTCAGCTTCATCTGTCACCGCATAAACACAACCATGTGAGAGAAAGTCTGTAATTCAAAAGACAGACGGACAGACAAAACCAAGTGTTGTGTTTGGAGCAACTAGAGTTCACGTAATTATTGGAAATTGTATGTGGGTGTGTAAATACATATAATATGTAGGTGTGGAATACATATTTATATATATCAATAGAAATGTACACATTATTTACAAAAAACATATTCAAGCATACTCATTGCAGCAATGTTTGAATAGGCTCATATTAGAAGCACATGCCATCTATCGATCAGTAGTAGATAACAGCAGAACTGTGGTGTATACACAAATGGAATACTATGAAGGGATAAGAATAAAATAACAACTTCCTTCAACAAGCGGATGGATTGCAATCAAAATAACTCAGATGTAAAATAACACATCCCGGATTATTCCATTTGTGTGAAGTTTGAAATGAGAAAAAAATAAGCCATAGTTGTAGCAGGTAGGACAGTTGCTGGCCTTGAGGAGGGAAGGACCAGAAGGGGACACGCAGGTGACTTTTTCTGATGTGCCCAGACCTGCATTCTGACCCTGACTTTCGCCCAGAGCTGTGGTCGCCGCATCCAGCGCTGGGCTGTATATTTTCCACTGAGCATCCAGACCGACCCCCTGCAGTTCAGCGAGGACCACACAAGAGGGAGGAGAGACCCAACAGTGGCACCCAGATCACTTGTTCCATCCTCCGTGCGCAGCGCACAGTAGGCACTTTACAGTTGTTTGTTGAACAAACAGGTGCATCAGCAACACAGAGAAGCTCGGGGAGACTCGGAGGACAGCTCTCCCGTCCACCCCGGGGCTTGTCCAGCCACATGCAGGCGCGAGCTCCGGGCACCAGCGGCTCTCCAGGCCCAGAGGAGAGGGCCGACTTGGCCGGGAGCAGAGCGCCTCCACGTGGCCCCCGCGGACTCCTTCCGGTTTTCCTCAGTCGGGTGCGGTTTCTGTTTTTCCTTTCATGTGGTCTCTGGTCTTGGAAAAGCTCTATTTCGGACGACGCCCTGAAGGGCCCAGGCCGCCCATAGAAAACCATGAGGGCCGTGCCCCGACGGCGGGAGGTCCGGACCGGCCACGGTCCCCGGCCGTCCCGGCTCCCCACTCAGCTTCCTCACTGAACAGTTGCTGTGAGCCATCAGGTGGCGGCTCTGGGTACAAACGAAGGGTTTGCTGTATAATGATTTTTTTTAACAGAGATTATTTAAGGCTCGATTTCTGTTTATACTCCCAGGATAAATTATAATTACCTTTGTTTACCTCCTATTCCTTTCTTAATTAACTGACAACCTATTAGCATACATTTTTTTTTTATCCCAGGAGTATTAATTATACGTAATTTATATCATAAGCATTTATTTCGTATCAGTGGGATGAATAAAACATTTACCTGCTTATAGCTACTTGAGGTTAACATTTTTATACAAAAAACTCACCTGAGACTCCCAATCAAATTATCAGATTTTTAATTTCCCGTTACATAATGACGCCACACCAGCCACCGTGGCGGCTCGCTCCATTCCAGGCTAAACAACCGCTCAGCGGAGTACGTGCCGACGGCGTTAATTAACCAGCGATGCATGCCTTGCTGCACGATCAGAGGCAAAATAATAAAAATGTGCAAGGTGCCGGTAGGAGAGCCGGCTCCTCACGGGACTGAAGCACCCAGCCCAGCCCCGCGAAGTGAGGAGGACCGCCAGGTCTCCTGTCTCCCAGCTCCTCAAACCCAGGGCACATCCCAGCAGTCAAAGGGCTCGGGCTCTAGGCCCTGCCCGAGAAGGCAAAGACCTGGCACAATCCGCACATCAGTGAGCGAGTGTGGAGCTGGGGCACAGGATACACCCATGACCAGTTCTGGGATCCCAGTTTCTGCCCCCACAGCGCTGGACATTCTTCTCTCTCAAAACACAGCCCAGGGGGTGTTTGGGGCAGGGGTGGTCTTGCCCACAGGTTTTAAAATGAGATGTTCACGAATCAGACCTTGGTGGAGAGGCCACTTGCTTTCCTCCATGGGGTGGCTTGGGTGACATCACAGAGAGATCCTGAGATCCTCTTCAAAGATGAGCAGGCGGACTGGGGGGCTGTGAGCAGCCCCGCGTCCAGCCAGGACTCAGGAGGCGGGTATATGTCCCTCATTTGTGCCTCCAGACACTGACCACTGTCTGTCTTCTCACTCTTCCCTGCATGCAAGTTCAAGGCCAGGGGTCCTGGCCCTTTTCAGTCTCTGCGTATTTGCTCACCACCTACAGTTACCCAGAAACCAGCGGCGAAGGTAACAGAAGACAAACGGAAACATTGCACCTGCAACATCTCCTGTTGCTTCAAGGGGAACAGGAAGAATTTCGGAGACTGGGAAGAGAGGCCGGCTCGACTCTGAGCAAGCTTATCTTACTTACTGTCCGGAGGGAGATGGGGGCAGGAGGGAGGTGAGCGGAGGCAATTAAGCACCTAAGGGTGAGAGACAAGCCCTGTGCTAGGTTCCTTCCGCATTCCCACTCTGGGTCTCACATTCGCCCTGGGACGCAAGCATGATTACACTGACCTTGTACAGGAGAAAACTGAGGTTTAAAAGGTGACGTGTCTGCAGCCGCAGCTGTAGCAGGAGGTAGTGCTGGGGTTCGAACCACAGCCCAGACACGTTTAACACCTGCCCGTACCCACGACGCCACCACAACGGCAAGGGAGACAAGAGCCCGTTGACAGAGATGCCGAGAAAACGTCCCGAGTCACTCGCACTGCAGTTTGGAGTGTAAACCCCATATCTTTAGTTGACCAAGCCTGCCTGTGGAGAACAGAGCGTATTTCTCCTGAATGTCTGTCTGGGTCACTAACAAGCCGAAGTGGCAGACAGACACTGGGTGTCAGTGTCGGGGGAGAGAAGGGGACGCTGTCTTTTGTCCCCTTGTCATGTGGAATGCAGAAAGAAAGCGTACTGAACGGAACGCAAGATGTCCCAGAGCTGTCTGGTAAGCCGGCCGCCCCGCCCAATGGGGCGCCCGCCTCACTGTGGCCCTTGTGGGGACCCTGCCCGGAGCCCAGCCTGGCCCTTGTCCCCTCACTGCTTGTGGTTCCCCCAGCTCTCCCTCCCTGGTGGTCAGGTGGCATTCAGTGCTTCCCGGAGGGTCACCCCCCTGGTCCCAGTCACGACAGGTCACAGTTCTTCCAGGTCCCCCCCAGGCTCCCGTCACCTTTTACTCACTTGTCCCCACGGACAAGCCCACCCACGCCCAGGTTCAAATGCCATCACCAGTTCCTGACTCCTTTGTCTCCGTCTCCAGGCAAAACACTCAGTGACTCCCTCAGGAAATCGCAAAGCCACCCAGAAGGAGCGCACAGCACACCAAACTCATGACGCCCCCTTCTGCCCTTCTGCACCAAACAAACGAGCCAACGTGTAAATAAATAAACAGGAAAAGAGTAGTTCCTCTCCCGCGGTTCTTTAATTCGGTGGATGGCATCCCTCGGCCCGGTTGTGGAAACCAAAAGCCCGTCTCTGCCCCAGGTCCAGTCCATTGCCTCCCCGTTTTGCCTCCTACACAGGCCTCGGATTCTTCCACGTCTTCATGAGCACCGCTACCAGCGCCGCTCACGCGGACTTTGGGGACTGCCCTCTCCCACTTCGGTCCCGCCGCCGCCTGTGTCCGGGCTGTGGCCAGAGCCACCTTGTCCAGATTCATATCTGATAATATCGATCTCCTTTAAAAGTCACGGGAAAGACTTTAAAATTTGGAACCAAAGAAGAAACCATACAGAAAAGACTGATACAGTAGGCTGTGTAAAAATAAAATATTTCCGATCACAAAATCACCCTGAACAAAGTTAAAATCACATGCTTGGGAATTTAGACAAAGTACTAACTTTCTTAAACTATAAATATATCTTAAAATAAACTCTGGCCCTGGCTGGGGTGCCTTGGTTGGTTGGGTATCATTCTGCAAAGACAAAGGTCACTAATTCTGTTTCTGTTCAGGGCACGTCCCTGGGTTATGGGTTTAGTCCCCAGTCGGGGCAGGAATGACAGGCAACTGATCGGTGTTTCTCTCCCACATTGACATTTCTCTCTCTCTCATTCTCCCTCCTTTCCCCTCTCTCTAAAAATACAAATAAACTTTGAAAAATGACAAACAACCCAATAGAAAAATGTGCAAAGAACAAGCTATACCAACGCATAGACACAAATACACACACACACAC